AAGACCCAAGAATTTTTTTTTTCAGCATATTAGCCCGACTTGAAATTTTATAGCCCAATCCTGGATCCGCCCCTGAGACCAATATTAAAAAATTTGTTCAACGTTTTGTTAAGTTTTAACTGCAATGAAAATTCATTAAAATTTACACGTATTCTTTCTTATTCATTTATTATGTTTAGTCAAACGTAACGTCCCCAATATATATGATAAATGATACGACATACTAAGGGTATAGAAGTTATGCAAAAAGAGCCGCAATGCTTCAAAAAAAGTGTCGATTAATTAATTATTTTATTTACATGTTTAAATTGTTAGAGCTAAAATAATTTTATTTTAATCTCTTCAAGACGCTCACTCAACATGTAAATTCATTATTTAAAATTTTTTTTAATCAAAAACCTGATACTTGAACGATCATCTAATCGGTTAGATGCAAGACAAATTAAGTTATTAAATGTGCTGTCAAGTGTACCCTACTTCCAATATTTTTTACTGGTCACATAAATACTGTATATGATGTAAAAAATAATCAACTCGAGTTATCTTAGCTACGAAATCACACATCAAAAGTAAATGAAAATACGACTGTGACAGTACAATCAAATTAGAAAACTAATGTCACGCCTACTCAAATTTACATTTTCAACCAACAATGAGGTCTCCTAAAGGTTACAAGTTACAACATGTAAAAAATTAATCAACAATTCGAAGGATATCACACATCAAAAAACTTAAACCATATGCAGTTCTCATAACGTCTCACTCTAATGATAAAGACTAGGGAAAAAAATGCTACAGCTCCATAATATGAATGCATTAGATTCTACAAACCATACCAGCTTTAATCATTTTGAAGGAAAATAATTGAACTTCATAGACATCAACAAAGAAAATGTAAAATCTCTTACATGCTAAAATTCCAGGACTGAAAGTAGGGATGTTTTTTGTTTGATGAGGATTGAATCTTGAAATGAGTTGTCTCACATATAAAAGCAACCACCTGCACCAAATGCTAAAAAAAAGAAGGGAAAGTTAAAAATTCATTGTAGCAGGCCTAGATATATAGTTTAGATATATGAGATAACTGGAAATATGTGTGATAATTAACCACAGACTATTAGCATGCCAAACTGAAAAAGGAAAGAATCTAGAAAAGTAGAATAAACAAGGATTCTCCACCCACTATTATTGTATTATAGAGACAATAAGTCAAAAGATAGAGATAGAATCGAGGCACATCTTCTACAGGAGTTACCACCATGATAAGTGTATTTTGTATACTTATTTAGATTTTGA